ACAAAATCTTACTTTTTACCTAGAAATGACTGATTTTTGGTACAGTTGTTCCCTGGAAACTTCGAGCCATAGTTAAGGAAATTATTTTGTAACCTTACAAACTTCCTCTCTTTCATTGGTGTTAATTCAGGATACATTTGGTTGAATTTTTTACACGTTCTGACAATGATTTGATCACTTTGTTCATGTGTATAATTAATAATTTCATAAGAACTTTGTTTGAATACTCGATATTTGCATTCATTTTGGAAGATGATTCGAAACACCGTCGATAACTCTTTGTAAATTACTTATAAAAGTAACTGAACTGCTATAAGCTTGATAATTCCACTGCTACCTAAATCCAAATTCTAAAAAGAAAAATAATGTTTCTAGAAGAAGCGACTTTATTGAGAAAACTTGACGATTTAGGTATAGGGACATGATATATCATCTTGAAGCATTTTTCACCATCTTTCAATTTATCGAGTAATATACAAGGGGTTTCAACAATTTCAAGCATTCCTCATTTATTTTCCATATCCTCTTGTGTAACACTAGACTTTTCTGGTCTGTGAAACCGAATTTGTGAAATATGTTCCTTGTAACGAGCTACTATAGTTCACTTAGTTTGACCAACATACTTTTTATCGCAAGCCTCACGACTCATTTAGTAAATTCCTGACTTCTCTAGGAGTCGCTTAGGGTTTCTTTTAACGAAACTTTTTTCAGGCAGGGTTTCATTTCTCCGTTCATCAGACGGAAAACAGTTCAACAGTGCATTCAGAGGGCTTAGATTGCGTAACATGTTTACTCACCAGTTTGATGTGCAGATACTAAAGCGAGATAACATTATACCACACACGCAGTTAGATTCAGTCCTTGCAAGTCTGTGGACGACTATATTGAGGGTGAATCAGAATAAGGACAAAGGGTGAGTTGTAAAATATTCTGAAGGCTAAGTTTCGGATAGGCTTTACCATTCGGTTTCGAAAAAAAACTGTGTGTATTTAGGTATTTGGACATGTAAATTACGAATCCGAAAAAAAGTTAAATTGTGCTCTTTCTTATTTCCAAAGTTCCACAATCGCAACTCTCCAGTTGATCTTTGTTTCCTGCTGCTGGTTGAACGATAAATATATGCGAGATTAACCTTTGTGAGGTATCCTGCATAACTATCTGTCGGATATGATTCAATCTCCAGCGCGGCATTAGCCGGGGAAGTAGTTGTTTACCGGCAGGCATCTATCAGAATCTATTGTGTTGGTACGTTGGGAGAGATGAATGTTTTAATATTATATTTTGAAGAGCAAAGCAGCTTATTTATTTATTTATTTTACGGAATGTCCATTACAGCATTGTACAAGTTAATATAAAATTTGCGGTCCTGAATATATATACCTACAAAACATAATTTCACTACAGAGAAAAGCTATATACATTTATTTTAAATTGTGGTCTTATAAAATATAAAAATAAAAAGA